ACAGAAGGGACCTCCAAAGGACATCCAGGTTCACAACAGCCAAGTCACCCAAGCATTACTTCTACTTTTTTTTCGTTAATCACTGCTACATTCTTCCTGTTAGGAATGGTGGGAGTTGAAGTACAGAACACCTGGAGGGCCAAAGTTTGCCCATGCCTGTAACTTCTTTGGGGAGAATTTACTCACTGAGCCTGTACTTTGTAGCTTGTGAAAATCCACAAACCTGGGGGGAAACCAGCAGCATCTACCACCAAAATAAGACAAATACTTTTGTCCCGTAGACCATTGGAACAGCCAGGTCTTCAAGTTCTTTCTGAAGACTGCCAATGTAGGGGCCTGTCTAAGATCTTTGGGGAGGGCGTTCCAGAGCCGGGGCCACCACGGAAAAGGCCCTGTCTCACGTCCCCACCAAACGCGCTTGCGACGCAGGCGGGATCACAAGCAGGGCCTGACCGGAGTGAACATGTGGGTTCATAGACGGAGATGTGGTCACGCAGGTAGGCTGGTACCAAACCGTTCAGGGCTTTGTAGGTAAGCACCTGCACCTTGAATTGGGCTCGGAAAATAAATGGCAGCCAGTGGAGCTCCTTAAACAGGAGGGTTGACCTCTCTCTGTAAGGAGTGCCAGTTATCCTGGCTGCTGCCCGTTGGACCAGTTGGAATCTCCGAGCCGTTTTCAAGGGCAGCCCCGCGTAGAGTGCATTGCAGTAATCCAACCTAGAGGTGACCAAGGCATGGACCACCCCGGCCAAATCAACCTTTGCGAGGTATGGTCGCAGCTGGCGCACAAGTCTCAGTTGTGCAAAAGCCCTCCCCAACGCCGCCGACACCTGAGCCTCAAGCGTAAGTGATGAATCCAGGAGAACTCCCAAACTGGGGACCTGTGGCTTCAGGCGGAGTGCAACCCCGTCTAGCACAGGTTGCCACCCTATACCCCGATCCGGTTTGCGATCGACCAGGAGGACCTCTGTCTTGTCGGGATTGATCTTCAGCTTGTTCCTCCTCATCCAGATGGACACAGTGGCCAGGCACTCGTCCAGCACCCGAGAGGCCTCCTTGGAGTTGGGTGGAAATGAGGAGTAGAGTTGCGTGTCATCTGCGTAGAGGTGGCACCCAACTCCAAAACTCCGGATGACCTCTCCGGAGGTCATCTGTTCATATATACAAAACTTACGAATTAGATACGACTTACGATTTAAAAACGAAGCTTTGCACACTCCTACTAAGCACACAGCTTCCAAGGCATGGCTCTTGCCCTGAAATCCCCCCCTTGCCCTTCAGCCAGTCCTAAGCATTGATTATTATTGTTGTTGTTGTTGTTGTTGTTGTTGTTGTTATTAGGGTTCCCTTCCTGCCTCCAAGGCTTGGAAGGGCCCCGAATGGGCTTCTGCGCTGCCTGGCGTTGCCTTGTTTTAATAGCGTTCCTTAAATTGCATTTTTAATTGTATTTTCCCCCTCTAATTGCATCTCTAAATTGCATTGTAATTGCGTTTTAAACGGCTTTTTATGGGGTAAATGGTTCATTTTAGATGGTTTTTGGAGTTACTTGGTCGTTTTACTGTCCACCTTTTGCTTCTTCCAACAGTCTGGCTTTTTGTTTTGTGCCCATTTGGGAAAGAAAGCAAGTGGGAGGGACCCATTGCATCAAGGGGCATCTACACGGCAGAATTAGGGCATCGGTACCACTTTAACTGCCATGCCTCCATGCGACGGGATCCTGGAAGTTGTAGTTTTAGGGGGCAGCAGCCCTCTTCGGCTGAGAAGCAAGAAGACTTGTAGGATTCCATTGCAGTTCAAAGTGGTGTCAAACTGCATTAATCCCACAGTGTAGAAAATCAAAGCCAAACAACAACAAATGGCAGTATTTTCTTTTCTTTTTCCTGAGGTCTTGGGAGAAAGGAATTTGAAAAGGTATAGGGAATAAAAGGAAAGAGGGAAGAAAGGAGGAGGAAAGAAGGAAGGGAGGAAGGGAGGGAGGAGGGAAAAGAAAGAAGAAAGGAAGAAAGGAAGGAGAGGAAGGAGGAAGAAGGGAAAGAGGAAAGAAGAAAGAAAGGAAGAAGGAGGGGGAGGGAGGAAGGAAGGAGGAAAAGGAAAGGAAAAGGAGAAGAAGGAAAGAAGGAAGGAGGAAGAGGAAGGAAGGAAGGAGGAAGGAAGGAAGGAAGGAAAGGAGGAAGGAAGGAATGAAAAGAAGAGAAAGGAAGGAAGGGAGGAAAGAAGGGAGGGAAGAAAAGAAGAGAAAGGGAAGGAAAAAGGAAGGAAGGAAGAAGGAAGGGAAGAGAAGGAAAGGAAGAAAGGAGGATGGAGGGAGGGAGGGAGGGAGAGGAAGGAAAAAGAAAGAAGGAAAGGGAAGAAAGGAAAGAAGGGGGAGAGGGAGGAAGGAGGAAGAAAGGAAGGAAGGAAGGAAGGAAGGAAGAAGGAAGGAGAGAAGAAAAGGGAGAGGAAGGAAGGAAGGAAGGAAGGAAGGAAGAGGAAGGCAGGCTGGAGGGAGGGAGGGAGAGGAGGGAAGAAAAAGAAGAAGAAAGAAGAGAGGAGGAAGGAAGGAGGAAGGGGGAGGAAGAGAAGGAAAAGATAAGGAGGAGGAGGAGGGAAGGAAGGAAGGAGGGAGGAGGAGGAGGAAGGAAGGAAGGAAGAAGGAAGGAGAAGGAGGAAGAGGAGTGAAAGAAGGGGAAGGAAGGAAGGCAGGAGGGAGGGAGGATGAAGGAAAGTAAAGAAAAAAGGAAGGAGGGAGGGAGGAAGGAAGGTGGGTAAAGGAAAGAAAGGAGGGAAGAAGAAAGGAATGCAAGGAAAGATGGGAAGGAAGGAGGCATGAGCAAGGAGGGAAGGAAAGAGGGAAAGAGGACGGGAAGGAAGGAAGGAAAGAAGGAATGGGAAGTGATGAAAGCAACCAAGCAAGCAATCTGCAAATGTGAAACTAGCCTTTCTCCTTTTCTGAAAGCTTTCAAGCAGGGGCTGGATGGCCATCTGTGAGGAGGGTTTGGATAGTGTCCTCCTTTCTAGCACAACAGGGTTGGACTGGGTGGCCTTTGGAGGTTCTTCCCAACTCTTAGGATTGTGTGTCTGGATGCTTTTGAGCAGGGATACCACATTTTGGATGTTTTCGGTCTCCGGGGGGGTCTTCTGCACCAATTTCCTGAGGGTCTTTTCCTCCCAATTCTGCGAGGTGTGCCGTGCCTGTGCCTGGGAAGCAGGTGGTCCTGGATCCGGGCTGGGCCTGGCAGGGAGATGGATGTTCTGCCGAACGCAGAGACGGAGCATGAGCAGAGAGAGGCACGAAGCGTGTCCCCAGATGCCCCGATGACGATGAGGATGGCGAAGAAGGCTGCCGGTTCTGTATCGGATGCGGAAACGGAGCCTCACGACACAGGCATTGTTCCACCCGTTCGCCCGCCCGCCCGCCCGCCCGCCGGCCTCATCTAAGCGCTTGTGATCCATTCTGGAAGAGAGCTTTCGGAAGGAGATTACGCTCTCCAATAAAGACGTCCCGCAGCGCCCTACCAAAGCGGCACCTGCGAGAGAGTGCTATTATTCGTTATCCCCTGATGTCTTACTCAAACCGCTGGCAAAGAGGGCTGTGTTTCTTCTTTAGGCCTTTGGCATCCCTCCCAGGGTCAGCCGAGGATGGTACAGGCTTAGAAAGGGCCCCCAAGGCCATCTAGTCCAGTCCCTTTCAGCCAGATACCACCCAAACCCTCCCTGCAGATGGCCACAAAGCCTCATGCCTTACAATTCTCCATTGAATGAGTTCCCACCAGATTCCCAAGTGGCCTATATATCCGAGGAGTTCGAAAGGACCCCCAAGGCCATCTAGTCCAGTCCCTTTCGGCCAGACACCATTCAAACCCTCCCTGCAGATGGCCACACAGCCTCATGTCTTACAATTCTCCATAGAATGAGTTCCCACCAGAGTCCCAAGTAGCCTGTATACCAGAGGAGTTGGAAAGGACCCCCAAAGGCCATCTAGTCCACTTCCACCATCCAAGCCATCCAGAAAAGAAGACTCCACTGGACTCACAGGTGCTCTGTATTCCAGTTGGAAGGGACCCCCAAAGGCCATCTAGTCTGACCCTCTTCAGCCAGGTAGAAATACATGTGCTCTCTTCCAACTCTGTTGTTGCTAAACTACAACTCCCAGGCCACCAACTAGTAAACCCCTTGGGCTGGATGCTATCTTTTGGGGATGCTTTGATTGTGCTTTTCCTCCATGGTAAAATGTGGCTGGATTAGATGGCCCATGTGGTCTCTTCCAACGTTGTTGTTGTTGTTGTTGTTGTTGTTGTTGTTAACATCATTATGGCTGGAGGGCTAACTGTTGGGGGTGCTTTGATTGTGCTTTTCCTACATGGCAGAATGTGGCTGGACTAGATGGCCCGTGTGGTCTCTTCCAACTCTATTATTCTATGATTCTATGAAAATGAAGAGGAGAAAGCATCGAATCCTAGAATCCAAGAGCTGGAAGAGACCTGGTGGGCCATCCTCCAGTCCAACCCCATTCTTCCAAGAAGCAGGAACGTTGCCTTCAGAGCACCCCCGACAGATGTCCACGCAGCCTCTCTTTCAAACCTCCAAAGCAGGAGCCTCCACCGCAGAGTGAGAAGAATCAAAGAAGAGCGTTGGAGGAAGAAGAGGAGGAGGATTCTCCCTTTGGGCCTCTCTGATTTCCAGGCTCTTGAATGGGGGTCTGTGGGCTTTGGGGCAGCTGACGAGGGGCCCCAGCCAGGACAGCTGTTGTGCACGCATGTTCCTGGGACAGCTGTGCGTGTGCTTGCACTTGCCCTGGCCACACCCTCCTCCTCCTCCTCCTCCTGTTCTTGCTGCCAGGCCAGAGGGTCTCTGGGCTGTCCCGTGGAGGCATGTGTGTGCCTTTGGCCTTTGCACATGGCGGTGGGCCCTGCGCACGTGCGCCTGTCCGTCTGGGTGTGGACCCCGCGCTCTGCTCCGTCCCCAAAGGCAGCCTGCAAAGCAAGGAAAGCATGGACACGGGAAGGAAGAGCCCAGCGGCGTAAAGAGGACGGACGATGGGGGCCAACCTGGGGAGGAGGCAAAGGGGCTCCAAGCACGGCCCACCCAAGGCCCACCGCAAGGTACCTTCCCTCCTTCCCTCCTGGCCTTGGCCAAAGCCCTTTCTCTCCATGCTATGGGATCCTGGGAGTTGCACTTTGGGGAGGCCGAGAAGCAGAAAGGCCTTGTAGAACTACAGATTCCACATCTACACTGTGGGGTTAAAGCCTTTTGACACTACTTTCCATTGCAATGACTCAAGTAGTGTCAAAAGGCATCAATCCCACAGTGTAGATGCACCCATGGAGAACCGGAAGCAAACAACAACAACAAATGCCAGTCTTTGGTTCCTAGAATTTGTGTAAATCCATGGTGGGAGGAAGGGATTTGGGAAAGAAAGGGAATCAAAGGAGGGAGAGAGGGAAGGAGGGAGGAGGAAAGAAGGGAAGGGAAAGAAGGAAGGCAAAGAAATGAAGGAAGGAAAGAAGGGAGGAGAAGAAAGAAAGGAAGGAGGGAGGGAGGAGAAAGAAGGAAGGAGGGGAAGAAGGAAGAAAGAAGGAGGAGGGAGGAAGAAGGAAGGAAGAAGGAAGAAGAAGGAAGAGAAGAAAGGGAGGAGAAAGGAAAGGAAGGAAGGAGGAAGGAAGGAAGAAGGAAGGAAGGAAGGAAGGAAGGAAGGAGGATGAAAGAAGGAAGGAGGAAAGAAGGAAAGAGGAAAGAAGGAAAGGGAAGAAGGAAGAAGGAAGGAAGGAAGGAAGGAAGGGAAGGAAGGAGGATGAAAGAAGGAAGGAGAGGGGAAGAAGGAAAGAGGAAAGAAGGGAAGGAGGAATGAAGAAGGAAGGGAGAATGGCAAAGGAATGAAGGAAGGGAAGGAGGCAGGAAGGAAAGAAAGAAGGGAAGAATGAAGAAGGAAGAAAGACAAAGGAAAGAGGGAGGAGGGAAGAAGGAAGGAAAGTAGCAAGGGAGGAAGGAGGAAGGAAGGAAGATAACGGAAAGAAGGAAGAGGGAGGGAAGGAAGGGAGGAAGAGATAATCAAGCAAATGTGAAAATGGCATTTCTCTGGAGGATTTTAAGCAGGGGCTGGATGGCCATCTGTTGGGAGAGCTTTGATTGTGACTTTCTGTCTGGAAGAAGGGTGTTAGGCTAGATGGCCTTTGGGGGTCCCTTCCAACTCTGTGACTCCCTTATGGGCTGGACTGGATGACCCTTGGAGTCCCCTCCATGTATGGTTGGATGGCCATCTGTGGGGAGAACTTTGGTTGTGACTTCCTTTCTAGAAGAAGGGTGTTAGACTAGGTGGCTTTTGGGAGTCCCTTCCAACTCCGTGACTCCCTTATGGGCTGGACTGGATGACCCTTGGAGTCCCTTCCATGCAGGCTGGATGGCCATCTGTGGGGAGAGCTTTGGTTGTGACTTCCTGTCTGGAAGAAGGGTGTTGGACTAGATGGCCTTTTGGGGTTCCTCTCAACTCCGTGACTCCCTTATGGACTGGACCGGATGACCCTTGTAGTCCCATGTATGGCTGCATGGCCATCTGTGGGGAGAGCTTTGGTTGTGACTTCCTGTCTGGAAGAAGGGTGTTGGACTAGATGGCCTTTTGGGGTTCCTCTCAACTCCGTGACTCCCTTATGGGCTGGACTGGATTACTCTTGAGGTCCCGTCCATGCATGACTAGATGGCCATTTGTGGGGAGTGCTTTGGTTGTGACTTCCTGTCTGGAAGAAGGGTGTTAGGCTAGATGGCCTTTGGGGGTCCCTTCCAACTCTGTGACTCCCTTATGGGCTGTAATGGATGACCTTGGAGTCCCATGCAAGGCTGGATGGCCATCTGTGGGGAGAGCTTTGGTTGCGACTTCCTGTCTTAAGTAGAGGTGTTGGACTAGATGGCCTTCGGGGGTCACCTCCATGCATGGTTGGATGTCCATCTGTCAGGAGGGCTTTGGTTGTGACTTCCTGTCTGGAAGAAGGTTGTTGGACTAGATGGCCTTTGGGGGTCCCTCTCAACTCTGTGACTCCCTTGTGGGCTTGGAGTGGGTACTTTGCACCCGGGTGCAGGATCGTTGACCCTTTTCTTCCCTTTCGTTGGGATTTCTGCAAGCGAGGGATGATGAGGATGATGAATGGCCCCTGACAGTGGCAGCCGCCGTTTCCTTCCCAGATTGCCACCTGAGCCAAGGCGGAGGCATCCCTTGCCAGCTCTCCTCTCTCTTTCCTCCTCTCTCCTTCGTTCCTGTCTTTCTCCCCTAATGAGCCCATTCTTCTTCTTCTTTCCTTGCTGCGGCCCTGCCATGCCCGGCTAATGCCGGATAATGGGCCACAGCAGCAATGGCGGCGCATGAGGAGGGGGCTGGCACCTGCCAGCTGGGCAGCTGTGTGCCAAGGCAGTCCCCAAAGGCCCCCTCCTCCCTTTCCTCCATCCCTCCCTCCCTTCCTCCCTTCCTTCCTTCTCCATTCTTCTTCTCCTGCCTGCTTGCCAAATCACGCTTCGCAGAGTCTTCTGCTGACGCTGAGGGTTTTTCTGCCTAATGAGATGCAAATTGGACCCCAAGAAGTCCTTGTTCCAGGCACCTGGAGGAGACGGGAAAGCGGCGAGGGGACCCCAAAGATCTTGTAGCCTCTCCCAAGAGCGTCCTGCAGATGTGATTCAACTTTCAGGGTGTGGTTGCCACCATCGGCTGCACCAGGCATGGGCAAACTCTGTGGTCGAGGCTCCTTCTTTGGAAGCTTTGAAGCAGAGGCTGGCCATCTGTCAAGGGTGCTTTGAAGGCAAGTTCCTTGCTTCTGGGCAGAATAGGGTTGGACTGGAGGATGGCCCACCAGGTCTCTTCCATCTCTAGGATTCTATAATTCTACGAGATGACCATAAGTTGGAGATACCTTGAGATATCTTAGATGGCTTCAGTGGCTTCAAACTACAAGAGAGGAGATTCCACCTGAACATGAGGAAGAGCTTCCTGACTGTGAGAGCTGTTCAGCAGTGGAACTCTCTCCCCGGAGTGTGGTGGAGGCTCTTTCTTTGGAGGCTTTGAAACAGAGGCTGGATGGCCATCTGTCAGGGGTGCTTTGAAGGCAATTTTCCTGCTTCTTGGCAGAATGGGGTTGGGCTGGATGGCCCACCAGGTCTCGTCCATCTCTAGGATTCTATGAGATGACCATAAGTTGGAGATACCTTGAGATATCTCAGATGGCTTCAATGGCTTCAAACTACAAGAAAGGAGATTCTACCTGAACATGAGGAAGAACATCCTGGCAATTGTGAATCTGTATCTCTTAATGATGGGTCACTTTTTGGAGGACCAATTTGGACGGGAAAGCGGGGAGAGGATCCCAAAGGTCTTGTAGCCTCTCCTTCAAAGCACCACCATGGAGAGCATCCTGCAGATGTGATTCAACGTTCAGGGTGTGGTTACTAACATAAGCTGCACCAGGCATGGGCAAATTCTGTGATCGAGGCTCCTTCTTTGGAGGCTTTGAAGCAGAGGCTGGGTGGCCATCTGTCCAGGGTGCTTTGAAGGCAATTCTGCTTCTAGGCAGAATGGGGTTGGACTGGAGGATGGCCCAACAGGATTCTGTGATTCCTTCTCTTCATCTTCCTCCTCCTTCTCTTCATAGAATCATTGAATAATAGATTTGGAAGAGACCACATGGGACATCTAGTCCATTCCCCTTCTGCCATGCAGGAAAAGCGCAACAAAAGCACCCCCAAAAGATAGACCTCCAGCCATAATGGCAACAACAGCAACAGAGTTGGAAGAGACCACGCCGGCCATTATGCCCAGCTCTTTAAGGCACTTCTCTGTTGCATCCCAGTTCAAGAAACAAGACCATAAGATTAAATCCACCACTCTGGACTGTAGGAAAAGCAATCCTTGTTTATTGATGAAAAATTGGTTACAAAAGAAAGGTAAATGCAGAGTAAAAAAGCCACAGAAAAACACAGTAGTCAATAGGATCTCTGAACTTGAGCAAAACTTCAAAAGCCACAAAACAATAACCAGGAGTCTGTTAGCCTTTTACGAACCATGAACTTGGAAACTAGGAGCCTCTGGGATTACTTGCCATGGAACACAGGAATTCTGCCAAGACCAGCCACAGTCCCGAACGTTGCTTGACCTAAAGAAGCACACGGCAGGGAAGCTCTTAAACCAAAGAAGCTATTCTTAGAAACGCTCCTTGACTTTTCTGTTTGGGCCTCTTTCTGCTGAAGGCGCTGTGACCTTCGTACAGACTGGGAAACAAATCTATCTCTCACTATCTGTTCTCTTCGGACCTCATTATGAAGCCCAGGTGGGGAGATATCACGGCTAACTTCCAAAACATTCTCTTCTAACTGTTGGGTTTCATTTTCATTCCCACTGACCTCTGCATCAACAACAGATTCCACACTGTCAGAGTCAGGGAGAGCTCGCTCAGTTTGAAAAACTATCAGAGAATCCTGTTCACACAGATCAGGATCAGGCTGAACCCCAACATCCTCGTGGGGATTATTCATGGTCTCCAGGCCTTTGATCCTTTGAGTCTCCCTCTTCCTCTGTTCACCTTCCAGCTTAGAATCTATCCCCCTTTTGAACTGTGATGCACAGCATGGCCCCAGGTAAAGCGGTCTTACCAAAGCCGAACAAAGCTGACTCCCAGGCAAAAGCATCCTCACCTTCCTAAACTTAGCTCAGCTTTCATAAGTTGCATAACCGCCAGTTATGGCTGTTAGGAATTGTGGGAGCTGAAGTCGAAAACACCTGCCCATGCCCATGCCCATGCCCATGCCCATGCCCATGCCCATGCCCATGCCCATGCCTGCTCTACACTGTAAAATGAAGGCAGTTTGGCTTACTTACTTACTTATTTACTTACTTAGGTGATCCCTTGTAGTCCAAGTAAGATTGTCCTCCAAGGTTGGTGTCCTGGCGGTGGGTCCGTAGGTGGCTGTGGAACCCTACTCTTGACCTGCATGTTCTCCCACAGTGAGGGCATTGGTTTCCAGGTGGAAGGTGGTCCCAGTCGGGGTTGGCTTGATGCGCTTTCCTCTTGGCACATTTCTCCCTTTTGCCCTCCATTCGTGCGTCTTCCAATTCTACAGCACTGCTGGT